TAACTTACCCTTTTAACCTAAAAGCTTTTCTCTTTATCCTTACAGTATAGAAAGTATGCCTTTTTATGTCTAGTGGGTCTTTACTCACTAATCCAGACTGAAATGTAGTGAGTTATTTGGTCTACATTCATGCCTTCTCAAAAATTTTCCACAAAAAGGCATTTTATATTATTCTGTTAGTCATTTGTTTCTTCACTTTTATAAACTCTTTCCTTTTTCTTTCTCTTTCCTTTCCCTTCTTTTTCTTTTTCTTCTCCTTTCCTCTCTTTCTTCCTCTTTCTTTTTTTTCTTTTCTCTTTCTTTTTTTTTTTTTTTTTTTTTTTCTTTTCCTCTTTCTTTCCTTTCTTTCTTCTCTCTTCTTCCTCCCTTTTTTTTTTTTTCTTCCTTCCCTTCCTTCCCTTCCTTTCCTTCCCCTTCTTTTTTTTTTTTTTTTTTTTTTCTTCCTTCCTTCCTTCCTTCCTTCCTTCCTTCCTTCCTTCCTCTCTCTCTTTCTCTCTCTCTTTCTTTCTAAACTTTTGTGTCTGCATATTAGGTCTTATAGATCTACTATTTAAGCCTATGATCTTTTTTCATTATTTCCATCTCTATCTTATTCCTCTTCTATGCTTTCAGGTATTTCTTTAACCAAATCATAAAGGATACATTTTGGCTCAAAAAGTGACCATTTTTCCTCCTCCACCTCAATTGCTAACATGCTTGATTAGAAAAAATTAGACTTTTTTCACATGGTACTCACATATTTTTCTCATTCAAATGTACAAATGTTCTAAGGTTATTAGAGATATTTATAAAAATACAATGTAACATAGACTTGCATGCATGCACATACACACACACTCATGAAAGATTTGTGACAGACATGGATACAAAGCAGCAGGGGTAAGAAAGGTGGTCCACAATACCTACACAGATTCCAGAGACCTCTCTCAGTCACAAGGTTGTGCTTTATGGCCAGCAAGTGAACCACTAAGATATTTTGATTTCAGGGAAGCCACAGCTCATTCAAGTAGGGGTCTTTTATACTACAACTGTCATGTAGCTGAAACCAAGCTATGGGACCAGGTTCAATAGCAGAAACCAAGATAGCATAACAGAAACCAGATGCAAACCATTCATCAATACATTTTCTATAAACAATATTGGCAAGCTGTTACAGATTTCCCTCTTGGTATTTTTTGGAAAACTACATTAGCACAAAACTGCATTAATTCCTATGTAGTATATTCTATTCTGGTTTGGTCAAGGATCAATACCATGGCTCCAGGGATCCCTGGAAATATTTGTAGGATTTCAATATACCATTTCAGACTTACAATGAAATTATACACTGTGAGTTAGAATTTTTCATCAGGCTTGGAAAATTATAAATCATTATTTCTTCACATATTGATCTTTGCTCACTTTATCTTTTCTGAGACTCTAATTGTGTATGTTAGATATTTTCATTGTGTTCCCTATGTTTCTGATATAGTATGGATATTTGTTACCACCGAAATCTCCTGTTGAAATGTAATCCCTAACATTGGAGGTGTGGCCTGGTGGGTAGTATCTGGGTCATGGGGGTGGGTCCCTCATGGCTTGGTAATGTCCTTATGATAGTGAGTTCTCATGATATCTGCTTAAGTGTGTGGAACCTCCCTTCCTACTCTCTCTCTCTTGCTCCTCCCATCATGTGAGATATGCCCACAGCCCCTTCACCTTCCATCATGATTGTAAGCTTCTTGAAGCCTCCCCAAAAGCCAAGCAGATGCAAGCACCATGCTACCTGTAAAACTTGCAGAACTGTGAGCTAATTCAACCTGTTTTCTTTATAAATTATCTAGTCTCAAGTTATTTATTTATACAATGCAAGAATTACCTAATACAATTTATGTTCTTTTCTTCTCTGTACTTTAGCTTGGAGATTTTTATACATAAATATAAATAAAATATATTCATATAAATATAAATATTTATATATGAATCTATTTTATATATTTATAAATGCTTATATATTTATATTTTATACGTAAAAATAGATTTATATATAAAATAAAAATTTTATAGTAAACATTTTTATATAAAATGTTTTTAAAAACTCTCCAAGCTAAACATATGAAATATATATTTTTTATATGTAATATAATTAAAATTATATGTAATATATTATACATGTAATATAATTATATGTAACATAATTAAAATTATATATTTAAAATTTTATAAATTTATATAATTTAATTTTACAAATATACTTTATAAATCTTAAAATATCTATTTTAAGATTTTATATATATAAAATTAAAATTTAAACATATATTTAACATTTTATATGTGTATATAAAATTTATCTTCTCATTTAGGTATCTGTATTCTTTCCTCTTTTTCTCTGGTGGATCTGATCTGCTGTCACACACATCTATTACATTCTCAATTTTATTTTTATTCATAAAATTTAAATTTGATTTTCAATTAAAATTCCCGATCTTGTCAACTCTTCTCCATTACTGAACATATTAATCACAATTATGTTTAAATATATATTTGTTAGCTCAATAATTTAGTCATCCATGAATTTGTTTCTATTGTCTTTTTTTCTGACCTTATAATTTTTGGTTGAATTATCAGACATTGTATATGAAACACTGTAGTAGTTCTGAATGATAACATTCCTCCTGAGAGAGTTCCTCTCATAGGCAGTTAGAGAGGGGGCAGATAATAACAATCCAGTCAGGTATGGAGCTGACTCAAAGTTGAATTGCAGCTCCATCTCTATTTATTGCCAGTTTGCTTCTGTACTTATTCTTTTGCTCTCCAGGAATTCTAGTTGGGTATCTCTTTCTTGGTGGGTTTTGAACTATAATTCCTATTTCCTCTGATCTGTGATGAGACCTCTGAAAATTTTCTGTGCACTTCAACAGTTTTCTTCTTATCTTCTTTTCCTGTTCATCTTAAGAATTCTGCTAATGTTTGAAGAGAAAACCACCAGGTTTTAGGTTGGCTGCTTAAAGATTCCCTTTTCATCAGGATCTTGGCCCCTACATTCCTTGCTGTCTTGTCAGACTTGACTCCAATTTGTGTTCTTAGTTACGTGACACTGACCAAAATTACAGAAAATTCTATGCCCTCAAGCCACAGTCCTATTCTTAGATTCTTCAATTATTTGCTATGAAGAATCTGCAACATCTTGGACCAGGAACTTGGGCTATCCCTCTCTTCCCATGCAAGGCAGTTTCTTCACTCCTCCCCTGGGTACATCTCTAGGCATCTGGTGACTGCTCCCAGGACCCTCATCAAAGATGGTGCTTTGGGTCTCTGCATGTTCAAGCCAGGGTGGGTCCATGACCAATGATTTTCAAAATGTAGCTTCCAGAGTCATAAAAAATGCAGATGCTCATTGTGTGGTGGACGGAGGCAGATAGGCTCTGGGTTGCCCACCCCTGCTAAACCCCAAACTGTAACTGGGTAGAATTCATTCCTAAAAGTCTTGTGTATGCTATACTTGGTGCTCTTCGTTATTCATATTGGCCTCTACCCTTTAGCAGGTATATTTCTTCAGATACACATTTTGTTTCTCTGAAAACTGGATCCTCTTAGCTTTTTTTTTCTTTTAATTTTGGTTAGTTCATTGAGGTTCAGGTTCTCAGGTTGGAAGCAGTGTGGCAGAACAGCCCACTTCCAGTGTTCCTTCTTACTGGTCAATGTCTCTGCATTCAGTAATTCAACTATCAATTGTGGCTTTAAATATGTTGCAATTTACAGGTGAAAATACTTAAGGGTGAGTGGTTAAACAACCTGCTCAACATCACCTAGTAGATAACAATGATTGATACCTTTTAACGTCAGTTCCGTCAGACAACAAAGCCCACATTTTTAAAATGCTATGCTATACTCTCTGAATGCTCAAACGAGGGAGGGTCCACGCCCAGTAATTTTCAAAACGTGGTCTCCAGAGTCATAAAAAATGCAGGTGTTTATTGTGTGGTGAATTCAAGCAGATAGGCGCTGGGCCACCCATCCCTGCTAAACATCAAACTGTAAATATATAGTTCACAGAGTACTTCCTATGTGCCAGGGGCTGGTTTAAGCATTTTAATTACACTAACTCATTTCAATCTAACAAGTCTGTGAAATAGTTACTATTATTATTGGCCATCAATATTATGCCTATTAAGCTGATGCTTAAAGGTTAGGTAGTCCAGCCAAGATCTCATAAGTAGTGTTGCCAGATTAGAATCCAAGGAGTCCCTTGCTTTTAACGACTATCCTACCAAAAGTTCCTTGCCTAATAAAATGTTTGAATATTACTGATCAAGCCCAAGTTTGAGGGACAGGGCCCAAAGATGCGAAAATATTTTCCTAATATAACACACTCAGGTAAATAACAGAACAGGCTCTTGCAACTCTGTGGTCCCAGGACACTGAGGAGGGGCTCCTTTTCATGGCTTCATTTCAGCTCCACTGTGCATTTCCCTTCTCTGCCTGGAGTCTCCAGAGGAGCCTGGGATTTGGCAGGAAGGCGGGAGGGAGGCAAGCCTCACTGGAGCAGGAACGAAGAGGGTCTCTGGCAACAATAGGACGGAATTTGAAAAGCTCTAACCTCGAGTTTAGAGCGATGCTAGCTAGTGCCAGGGCTAGTAGGGTGCTCATTCCGCCGAGGGAGCGGGACAGCAAGGACAACCACGCCTTGCCAACCAAAGGCGACCTGCCAGCGTTTCCTCGGGGTCGGTCGCGGCGGTGAGGGACACAGAATTCTCCGAAGCCAGTCGCTCCGTTTCCAGCCACGCCCCCTTTCCCGGGGCCCTAAATGCTTCGGTAGTACTCCTATTCCGTAAATGCCGGTGCGTCCTCGCCTCATTCCGCGAGCGCCCGCAGCTACCGTGAGCCCGCAACTCCCGAGCGCACTGCTCTCCTGCGCCGGAATGCCAGCAGCCAAAGGTCGGGAGGCGCGGGATCCTTCTGGCCAATCAGGAGTCACGTTCCACCGCGCTGTCTCTTCCCGCCCCGCCCCTCCCGTATCCACGGAAACACTGCAAGTGTCTACTCCAAGACCTAGGACTTCCGTTTCGGTCCAGCAGGGCTGCGGCCATTGTTTGTGTGGACTGAGTGTTTTGGCCATAACGGTCCACTCTCACAGGCTCCGTTAAGTGACGTGAACTCTTGGGAGGACTGAGCCAGAAGCGAACAGGGCAAGACGAGCTGTGTTTGAAGGAAGAGGGGCAGAAAATCGAGGGTCAGGGACTGAGAAGCGACTCCGGTTTAGAAACACCGGAGACACCGGTGTAGGTGGGTACATCACGGCTTCTTTCCCACGTTAAGACTGAATAAAGGCAAGTAGAGGAGGGCAGAAGCAGCTTGGTCCCTGGGGTATGGGTGCCCGGCGTTCGGTGCTGGGGCAGAGTTCTGGCCGGGGATCTGGATAAGCAACGGAGGCCGCGCGCGTCTTCACTGGAGGAGCAGAGGACCCCCGGATCTGTGGCCAAGACCTGGAGATCCCGCTCCTAGAGAACCGTTGTGTGTCTGGTTCTCTGGTGCTTACACTTGGGCAGCCCGTGACGCGTTGGGGGAGCCCAAACCTGTCCTGCTCTTGGAGCACGCATGAAACGTTTTTTTCCTAGAGAATAAGGGCTCTTAACTAATTGCTTATCATTTTGCCCAGGAACCTACCTGTGATCAGCAAGGAAGGACTGGGTTGGCAAAGGCTCATGCCCCCATTTTACAGGTAAGGAAACCGAGACCTTGAAGATCTAGAAGTTTGGTCTGCTTTAAAGTTCTAAAGTGCTTGATGACAGAGTTGAGACTTTGATCAGGACCTGGGAGCTCCAGTTCTGGGATACTTCTCTAAGACTGCGGGTACCTTTCTGATAGTAAATCCAGTATTCCTGTTTAGCAAGTAGGGGAGGACAACGGAATGATTTTCTACTTAAACTGAACAAAATAAGAAAAATACCTTGAAAATAGATACTATTTAAGTTTGCTAGTGCTTTTCTATTATTATTATTAGTAGTAGTAATAATCTCAATAAATGAGTTGTATCTTTTTAAGTTTCTAGAGGGTTGCAAATAAATTTCAAGGTGCCAGTGTTCATAGCTCTCCGTTCTGGTCGTTGAAAGGAAACAAGAACATTCATAGGCTTCTTTTTGACCTCATGCTAGGAGATTTGTGCATCGTACCCAGTTAGTATATGGGGAATTTAATGAGTTTGGGAATTTAAAGTCATACCGGGTTTTCAATCCCCCTTCCTCCTCAGCTCAGCCATCTCAGCACTACCCTTCCCGAGAAGAGGGACACAAAGGAGGAAGGAATGTACACTGTTTTCCTCATAGTCTGATCCCAGGTGAGGATGATTGTCCCTGCATTCTTCATGGGTGGTGGAAGTAGTGGAAGTGGCAATGAGGATGGATGGATGACTGGACAGAAAATGTTCCTTGCTTGCCTGAGAAATTTTCAAGCATGCAGACTTGACCCTGCCCCAACCCAGTGTCTTTTCCCAATGTTTACTCATTCATTCATTCAGTCACTCAAGTCTACTTTATAATTCATGCTGTTCTTGGTGTTCTGAGATAAAGGAATAAATGTCATGGCCAGGCCTGTAATCCTAGCACTTTGGGAGGCCAAGGTGGGTGGATCACTTGAGGTCAGGAGTTTGAGACCAGCCTAGCCAACATGGTGAAACCTCATCTTTATTATAAATATGAAAATTAGCCAGGCATTGTGGTGGGCACCTGTAATCCCAGCTACTCAGGAGGCTGAAGCAGGAGAATTGCTTGAACCCGGGAGGCTGAAGTTGCAGTGAGCCAGGATGGTGCCACTGTACTCCAGCCTGGGCGACAGAGGAAGACTCCCTTTCAAAAAAAAAAAAGTCTTAACATTGAGGGTAACAAATTGTGTGAGATTAATAATAATTTCTGAAGTTATCCACATTAAACAGTGCCAGAATGAGTGGCACTTAAAACACAGCAACAGAAACTCAGATTTGAACAATTATGAGTAGGAAGATATCATTCTAAATAGGAAAGCCATCATTTAGTCTCAGGTACAATTTGAGGGAACAAATAAGGAAACCAGGCTATTGACAAGGAAATGTAACATGAATGTATAAAGCCACATTGTGGAGGGCAATTAATGTTTAAATTTGTTATTTATTCTTGTGCATCTCTTCACATGAACCATATTGACAGATAGCCATTGTTGACCTCTGGGTATATTTACTTGTAGTCTTTTATCTAATACTTATTGTCTATACATACTCACTTGTCTGTACAAATACTGATATGTATGTATACATGTTCATTTGTACATGTATGTACACATGTACAAATGTGAACATATATGCACCCGTGTGCACACATGTATATAAAAAGATTAGTGTATATAAAATATTATTAAACAATTTGAGTCATGACAAATAGGCTTCATGAGGGAAGGAAATGTTCCCAGTATATAGAATTGTATTGTGCATATACTAAGCACTCAGTAAATATTTATTCAATGTATGAATAGCTGTTATTTATGTACATTTTTCACTTAACATATAATGAGCATTTTTCCAAGCATACTTTGGTAGCATGAGTTTTAATGACTATATAGTGTTCCATTCTAGGTATATACTATGCTTTATTTAACTTTGCTTTCTTTCTTTTTTTTTGAGACGGAGTCTCGCTGTGTCGCCCAGGCTGGAATGCAGTGGCGTGATCTTGGCTCACTGCAACCTCAGCCTCCCTGGTTCAAGCAATTCTCCTGCTTCAGCCTGCCAAGTAGCTAGGACTACAGGTGCATGCTGCCACACCTGGCTGATTTTTTTGTATTTTTAGTAGAGACGGGGTTTCACCATGTTGCCCAGGCTGGTCTCGAACTCCTAAGCTCAGGCAATCTGCCCACCTTGGCCTCCCATTAAGTTTGCTTTTTATTGGGGAAAATTTAAGTATTTCCCAATATTTTGTTGTTATAAATATCTTATAATACTTAACATAATTTATTAAGTATATGTCTTTTTATATTCTCAAGATATACTCTGAGAAATAGGAAAACAGAATCAAAGGATATAAGCATGTTTTAGGCTTTTGAAAAACTCACGTTCTCTTTTAGAAATGTTACATGATCTTGAACTCCTACAACCATTTGATTAATGATTCTGTCTTACTGAGCCTTTGCCAGCATTGAGTATTAATTTTTAAATTTTGCCTTGATTTGCATCCTTTTAATCCTCAGTAGGGTTGATTTTTTTACATATATTCATTGACTCCTTATATTCCTTCTTTGATGAATCGCCTTTTGATATATGTCACTGTTTTCCTACTGAAGTTTTTGTTTCCATTTGATAGTAGATATTCTGTGTGTAAAACATATAAATCATTTGTCATATGTTATAAATATTTCTCCTAGTTTATCATTTGCCTTTTAGTTTAAGGACTTGTTTATATAAGTTTTAAATTTGCATAAAATGAAATCTTATTTCTTTTACTTATATGGTTTTGTGCTTAGAAATCTCTTCTTCACTTCCAAATTTAATATGTAATTGCTTTAATTTTCCTGTTTATTGTGTTAAGTATTTTAAACTTTTAATTTTTAAACCTGTCAAGAATTGATTTTGATGTGAGAAATGACAGGATTTAAACATTCTTTTTACTTCCTAGTTATTTAATTTTTCTGCTAACATTTATCTTCTCTACTGACTGTGGTGCTACCTTTTCATCTACAAAATTACACATATACATTATGTATATGAAGATTACTTTTGAGGCTGTCTTGTTTTGTGGACCCTCTTCTTAATTCTTATACTGGTATCCGAATGTTTTTATTGTTGTCCTTTATATGTAGTGCATTTAATAGGCAATGAAGAAGAATGTAGCCTTTCTTTTTCACTCAATGAAGATAAAAAGGAGAGAGGATGACTTTTTCCACAGAATAATATTCTGATGATTTCCATTTTGGACAAAAAGATGTAAAAGGAACATATATATAATAAGTTTTCAATAATAAGTATATGTTAATCTTTCATTATATTTAATCAGTATAGCACATTGGTCATAGTACAGGCTCCACATCTACTACCTAAGCTTATTGCATGTCTATCACTTCTTAGTACTGTGAACTAGATTGAATCACTTAGCCAGTCTTTTATCTTTATATTGGAGAAATAACAGCTACTGTGTAGGGCTGTTAAGAATGTTAAACAAGATCATACATGTAAAAATAACTTACAACAGTGCTGGACATGAAGAACTCACTAATAATTGATTGTGTTAAGTTAGCTATTATTTGAACTATAATGCATATCTGATATAATTTTTTTAGTCACTAAGACATAAGAACTGAGACAGAGAATCAAGCTTAATTTTTTTTTCTGCCACATGTCATCGTTTGTTCCAACATCATTAATTGAATAAGCCATCTTTCCCCCACAAATTTGATGTAACCTTTTTCATGTGTAAAATGCACTGTTGTACTCGTGTCCATTTCTGGATTTGTACCTGTTTCCATTGATCTTCTCTACTTCTATGTCAAGTCATGTTATGAATTACAGAGTCCTTGTTAAAGTTTTAATATGCCATTGAATTAGCCTTTCCTCATTATTCCACTTTCAAAATGGTTTTCTTTCAAAAGCATTTGAAAATCAGTTTGTTACAGCTCCTTCTCCCCCACATCAAAATCAAGATTAACATCTTGATTAAACCTGCTTGAAAACAGAGATAAGGCCGGGCGCGGTGGCTCAAGCCTGTAATCCCAGCACTTTGGGAGGCCGAGACGGGCGGATACGAGTCAGGAGATCGAGACCATCCTGGCTAACACGGTGAAACCCGTCTCTACTAAAAATACAAAAAAAAAAGTAGCCGGGTGAGGTGGGGCGCTGTATCCCAGTACTCGGAGGCTGAGCAGGAGATGGCGTAAACCTGGAGGCGGAGCTTGCAGTGAGCTGAGATCGCCACTGCACCCCAGCCTGGGCGGCAGAGCAAGATTCCGTCTCAAAAAAAAAAAAGAAAACAGAGATAAGTTTAGTTAGAACAAAATTATATTTATTTCTCCTAAGATTGAGCAGAGTCATCTTGTTTTTTCAACGTTTTGTGTGTGTGTGTGTGTGTGTGTGTGTGTGTGTGTGTGTGTGTGTGTGTTTTTGAGACAGAGTCATCTTGCTCTGTTGCCCAGGCTGGAGTGCAGTGGCACACTCTTGGCTCACTGCAACCTCTGTCTCCTGGGTGCAAGTGATTCTCATGCCTCAGCCTCCCAAGTAGCTGGGATTACAGGTGTGATCTGCCACGTCTGGCTAATTTTTGTATTTTTAGTAGAGACAAGGTTTCACCATGTTGGCCAGGCTAGTCTCGAACTCCTGACTTCAAGTGATCTGCCCGCCTTGGCCTCCCAAAGTGCTGGGATTACAGGCATCAGCCACCGCGCCCGGCCCCAACCTTATTTTTAGCCCTCAAATTCTAAGACTATCTTTATATAGGTTCTGAGTATTTTTGGTAAATTTATTTTTAGGAATTTATATTCTTATTGCTATTACACATTTCATTTAGGCAGAGCTTGCAGTGAGCTGAGATTATGCCACTGCACTCCAGCCTGGGTGACAGAGCGAGACTCCATCTCAAAAAATATATATATATATAATTTATATGTCTGAACTCTTTTTCTATACTCTTAAATTTTATGTAATTTGAACTTTATTGTGATGTATTTCATATAAGCAAAAGAATATATGAAAACATATGTACAATTTATAATAACATGAATATCTACCATTGAACTCAGCATATACTGTTTTTTCTTTTTAAGACAGACTGTTTGCTTTCTCTCCCACCCTGGAGTGCAGTAGCATGATCTCAGCACACTGCAACCTCCACCTCCCGGGTAATATATATATATATTTTTTTTCTGTGACAGGGTTTCCCCATGTTGGCCAGGCTGATCTCGAACTCCTGGCCTCAAGTGACCTGCCTGCCTCAGCCTCCCAAAGGGCTGAGATTATAGGCATGAGCCACCATGCCCAGCCTAAATCAGCATATACTTTTAAAAGCCCCCTGATGACTCCAAAATTTATTTCCCACCCCTTTCCTAAAGGGGCAGCCACTATCTTAAATGTTGTTATGCCTTAGTTTTTTTTTTTCCTGTGCTTTTAACTACATCTACATTTCTAAACACAATTGTTTAGTTTTGCATATTTTTGAACATTATATAGATAGAATCACTGTATGTATTCTTCCATGAATAGCTTCTTTTGCATAATGTTAACTTTTACAGTGCAGCAATGTTGATAAACGTAGTTGTTCATTTTCACAGCTGTGTACTGTTTCATAGTATGAACAACTTATCTATTTTGTTACTGACTTTTTGGATTGT